CGAGGTAGGTCCTGAGGGGGGGGGGGGTAGCATATATATATATATATATGTATGTACATGTGTGGTCAGCAATCACATGGGCGACCATAGGTGTATGTGCATATGTGCTTGGGGCCTGCGTGTCATGAACCTGTAGCCTGTATGAGCGTTTGGCGGTGTTTTCCACAAGGTTCACATGTTTTGTCATATGTTTATGTTGTGTTTGTGTTCGCCGACTGTAACCTCGGTACAGGCAAGTGGATAGAGAGTAAGCGCTTGCTCTGAACAGCAAGTTTCCAAGATGAGATAAAGTAACCACAACACCTTTACATAATCTAAATGCCGATGCGAGCAATCAGCTTTGAAAGGTATCTGGATGTGGCGGAGGATGAAGTAAAAGCATTCCAGGGCTCGCTCGTGGAGCTGAAGAACTACATGGAGCTCCGGATGCACTTGGGAAGCCACGGCAGGGGGTAGCAAGGCTTTCATAGAATTTCATTGAGTCTTCTGGGGGACGTCTGGATATGGGGGTTGACAGGCCTTCATGCAGGTGCATTGGGAGCAGGAAAAGCATACCATGGCCAATCACAGTGCTGTTCGTCTTCCGAATGGATAGTTTGAGGCTCTGTTGCAGGCATCAGAGGATATTTCAATGGTTTTACGGGATATCCCAAAGACCAAAAAGGCAACGTAATTGGACGGGAGCATGATTTCGGCAGGCGGACATGCACGAGACTGCGGCGGGAACACGAAGCGCACCCAAAATGCTCACGGTAGCGGAGAGCATGGATGGAATTGTCTGTCGCTTCGGTCCTTATGATTGCCCTGCTCGGCGAGGTCTACCGGTCTACCTCCTGTGTGGTTTAGGGCTTCGCACTTAGGGCTCAGGGTAGTAATGGTAAAGGTACGTAACGGTTTAGTTCCTTGCTGGCAATGGACAGTGCCTATAGAAGACCTGGACACAACTCCACTGCGAGCCCGGAAGCCCAAAGCCGCAAAGGACTGACTGTCCCCGAAGCCTTAATTACAGCACCCAAGCCCCAAGCCCCAAAGTTTTAAACAAGTTAGCCCTAACCCCCCAGGTACCTACTATACAGGGTACTAGAGCCCCTAGGGCCCTATATAGCAGGTACCTGGGGTGGTTAGGGTTAGTTTAAAACCGACAAGCACAATGGCTCAGAAGAGCCCCTTCCCGGACGACTTCAAGAGCCCCCTCAAAACACACGATCTGGCTTCCTGCCCGCCCAAAACTTAAAACCAAACCCCAAGAAAGACAAGCACAAGCCTACAAGAAACGGCAAGGAAGCTTTAGATTTGCGAACCACAATCAAGAATCCCCCCCCCCGCCCCAAACCCCCTATGGAAAAGCTCCCACAACCTCAAACCCTAAACCCTAAACCCCCCTATTGAAAAGCTCCCACAACCCTAAACCCTAAACCCCCCTATTGAAAAGCTCCCAGAAAAAGGACTGCAAGAAGGGCTTCTCCGACCTCGCCGCCGGCTATGCCCAGAGCATGTCCGCTCTCGGCAGAAGCCACCGCCACCTTCGGGCCACCTGGCGCCAAGGCCCGGAGGGTTTCTACCTTTGGGGGGCCTTACCTGGTTTAGGGTTTAGGGTTTAGGGTTTAGGGACCCCAAAAGTATGTAGAATAATAGCTTTTTATGGGTTTGTGGCCATGATTTTGCCTAGTTTGGGGGGTTCAGGCAAGAATTAGCTATACTATTTTGGGGGGTTCCTCTTTATGAGTCTAGTATACTATACGTCAAAACCCTAGTCTAATCATTAAGGCCCCTGCATTAGCTTTTCCAGTAGTTTGCGACTGTGTGGATTGAGGTTATAGGAGTTACGAGAGTCCATTGACGGGACTAGTTGGTGTTTTAGGGTTCGGGATTAAGGGTTCAAGGTTCAAGGGGTTTGGGACGAAAGATCTCAGATGGAATGAAGTGTTTCAGATTTAGGTCACCGACATTACGGTAAGCTTAATTAAAGAATTCGATGGTTTCGGACTGCAAGATTTCGAAGATCATGTGTTGGCCGTTATAGGGCTTGATTACTGCATCGTCCGGGTGTGTGTAGCTGCTGTCGTGTCTATGCGTGCAGGGTGTCTGCGGGGCTCGGTCAAAATTGTTTGTTTGCTTTGGTGGCTTGGGAATGAAAAGGTTTCTGCTAGGCGCCACGGTAGAGAGATTTCGGAGGATGTGCTATTTTATGCTGGGTGGGATCGGTGCCCAGTTTTTTTAACTCAAGTGATAGATGCCCAGTTTGTTTCTCAAGTTCTCAGCCGCCTCGCAGCCGAGACAAATGTTCGTCATATATAGTTACGATATTCTCCCAGATGCTGCTGAGTTGACATCAAGTACCTCTAATCTCCGTTGTAGTTTCTTCTTGGGGATGCCTTATAAAATCCTTATTATATTATTGGTTAAACCCCAAAAAAAGGAACTACAATGGAGACTATAGGTGTACTACCTGAGCCCAAGTATCTGATTGTTACAGTCGGGTCCTTCGCGCCCAGGGATGAACGTAGGCTACCGAACAAAGCGCTGCACCAATGAATGCCCGCATGACTCCATGGCCTCCAGCACCCCAGCGCAAAGCTCAAACAAAAGCTCCCGGATGATCTTGCGGAGATCTACGTCTTATACAGCCCGAATGCTACCTATAGTCTCCTTTGCAGTTCCTTTTTGGGGATACCTTATAAAATCCTGAAAATCTTATTGGTTAAACAAAGAAAGGAACTACAAGGGAGACTACAGGTAAGTTTCCGATCTTGGCAGAGGTAACTCCTGAAGTCCAAGATCCAGAATGTTTAGGGTTTAGGGTTTAGGGTTTAGGGTCCCTCGCCAGGCACGAACTTGCTCGGAGAGTTGGCATCCGTCCTTGCTGACACGGAGGCCTGTGAGAAGGGGTTCCGGGCTATGGGTGCTCCAAATTTTGGGCTGACATTGGAGCAGTGGGCTTCTATCAGTAGAAGGATAGAGCATGTTAGAACTCCTGAATTCCAGAATAAGAGTGGGTCACTAACCGTCATAGCCAGCAATCGAATGTAGTCAAGATCTTTTTGCTGACACCCACGGAGCCAAGCCAAACGCCCTTCCGACTCCCTGCACTCTCGGAGGCATCGACTCATACCTTGCGGTCTTGGGTTTGGGGTTGCGGGTTGGGGTTCGGTATTTGGGTCACCCTGAATCCCGAAATCCCTAAAACCGGGGGGTGAGTCCGAGTGTGAACGCCGAAACCCGAAAAAGTCCCAATTGCCAGGTGGACGAAATCCTGAAATGCCTTACATGATGTAGTGTGGTATGCGTATTCAACTCCTGTGGATGTCCAGTAATGTAAGAGTGTCTAACCCCTAATAACCCTAAACCTTTTTTCTAAACCCCCAAAAGTAGGGAAAATAATGGCCCAAAACCCATAAAGGGCTATTATTCTACATACTTTTGGGGTCCAGGTAACCAATGATACCCTAAACCTCTTAATCACAAGCCTTATAACTTATAACCCATGGGCCCCATAGTAGTTCCTTTTCTGGGTTCATATATAGAATCCTATAAGGTAATCCCAAAAAGGAACTACTATGGGGCCTATGGGATAAGACCCTAAACCCTAAACCCTAAACCCTAAACCCTAAGCCCTAAGCCCTAAGCCCTAAACCCTAAAACCTAAACCCTAAACCCTAAACCCTAAACCCTAGCCCAGGCCTTCCAAGGCTTCGTCGCCGAAGAAGGCTGCAAGTCTGAGCTCGTAAAGCGCCTCGGAGATTCTCAGGGGCCTTTGCATCATGTCATGGCCAGCGTATACTAGTATGATTGTTACTTATTACTGTTATTTTTTGGTATTGTTAATTATTGTTGTTATTAATCAATATATTGCTGCTTTTTTGGATATTACTGCAGTGGGCGGTGGAGTCGACAGTTTGCGGGTGTGAGGGCGCAACTGTACCTAAGCGGGTTTTTGACCAAAAGAGCCCTTCCGTTTCTCATTGTTTCATGCTGACTATAAACCCAACCTAGGCCCAAACCCTGCATCTGGAATGCAGCGCAAGCTTGACTTCCGACCTGTGACGATTAGGAGCTGCACTGGTGAACTTTCGATTTTGTTGGGATTCATGTAGCCCTCCACCCCGCCCCGACCCCATTAGCACTGCAGGTTTGCTTACTTGGCATAGAAACTCGGGTGTCGGCGTTCCCGGATCTTTAGGACGTGATGTTGCAACGTGTCTGGAGTCATACCTATAGTCTCCATTGTAGTTCCTGTTTTGGTTTAACCAATAATATATGAAACGATTTTATAAGGTATCCCCAAAAAGGAACCACAATGGAGACTATAGGTAGATCAAGATTCTTTCTGTCGGATTTCACATCGCCAGTGCTCTCGTGAGTCGCAGGTCCTAGGCTTCTGAAGTGCACTGGCTGCAACCCGAGGCACGTTAACAGCAAGACACCGGACTCCCTGAAGCCCGATAGCCCCTCCAATTACCCTCTCTGGCCTTGCTTCCGCAAGTCCGAGGCAGACGATACAACAGCTTCAAAGCGCCATTTTCGGCATGGCCTTCCTTCTCCATCGTTTCCTGGTTAGGGGGATTTGGTTCTGCAGAAGCTCCGGGGCTCCAGGACCGTGAGATTCAGGAGTTGGGGGTTTCGGTTTCTCCCGGTGAAGTTCCACCGGGGTCTTGCGAACTCTTTGTTTCGTTTTGTTTTGCACCGGGGGATCAACTGGTACGTGCCATGACGAGCGAGACCCAGCCAAGACACTTCGACCCGGTACCACAGCTTGCAGCCAGAAGCCCCATCCCAAAAGCCCGATTCGGGTAGTTTCCTAGATGGTGGGGTGAGGTGTGGTTTTTGCAGGGATGGTGTATCCGGGAGGGGCTCAGTCTGATAACTGCAATCAGCGCGCACATAACCCGAGGCTTGGTCTCCGAGATTTCCAGCCGCTAAGAGCTCACTAAAGACGAAGTGCTCGTGGTTGCGAGCACGAGCAGCTTGATCCACTTCAACACCAAATGCCACAGCTCACTCAAATTCTATTCTTCAACTTACAGAAGTGCAACAGCTGCTCCTACGGTACGGCTCCGGGTCCTTTTTCCGCGGGCCATCCGCTCACGGTCGGACACCTGCCACGCCGACGTCGTTGCACTCTCGGAGAGCGGGGTGCGACTCCTTGCAAGATGCAAATGGGTAGTTCTCTAAATTAGGATCCGTTTTTAGGTCCCCAGTATAGTACGGCACCCTTATAAAGAGGACCCAGAAAGGGACCCTAATTTAGAGAACTACCCACATCAGCTTCCACTTAAGAATACATGAAAGCTGAATCGAAGCAACGAAAGATGGGCTTCCCAGGGTACAGCAACTCCTACCTATAGCATTGTAGTTCCTTTTTTGGGGATACCTCATAAAATCCTTATTATATATTTGGTTAAACCGAACAAAAGGAACTGCAATGGAGACTATAGGTAGACCTAAAAACCCTAAACCCTAAACCCTAAACCCTAAACCCTAAAACCCAGCCTAAAGGGTATACACCCCTTGGCCCCCAGGTTTCCGAGCCGCCAAGCTGCCGGATCCCGACACCTCGGGGCTACCTGGAGTTGAATGGGACATCTCATGGGGTTTGGGGCTTAGGGGCTTCGGGTTGCTAGGAGTTTTGGGGGTTTAGGGGTAGTTTCTGATGAGGTGTCTGTGGCCGAGTCTTTGCATCGATTCTTCTGCCAAACACGGTAGGAGCAGGGCCCGAAGGCTTGTAGATGTTGCATTGAAGCTGAGTCCGTGTAAACAACAGAAAAAAGGCCGACGAATTATTGTACTGTGGAGTTTCTCTCGTTCCCACAGTCTTGGAGCAGCTGGCACGCGAGGCCCGAATTTGGAAGAGCCCTCTTTCTAGGGTCCTGGTTATCAGGATGCCCTCGCGCCTTTTTTAGGCTTTAGGGTTTAGGGTTTAGGGTTTAGGGTTTAGGGAAGGAGTTTGAGATCCTCCGGTACGATTAGGTTTCGTGCCACCCTTGGCTTGGGCGGAAGCGACCCAGAGCTCCGTTAGGTTTTCGCAGAGAAACTTCGGGCTCCAGACACAATGACTTAGTGTGCAACTCCCCACCAGGACCCCCCAATGGCCCTTTAATGGAGCCCTTATGGTCCTTAATAGTGGGTATTTTGGGGGATAGTAGAGGGTAGTTGGGGGTCTAGGCGAGTATCCATCTCAGAAGTACTCTCGCCTGGATCAAAACCTGCGTTTCAGCTGCCGTCGAATCTACCCTTCAGTATGCCATGCTTCGAGCATCAGCTACCTATAGTCTCCATTGTAGTTCCTTTTGGGGGATACCTTATAAAATCCTTATTATACTATTGGTTAAACCAAAAAAAGGAACTACAACGGAGACTATAGGTAGCCCGGAAGAAGACCATGCATCTTCGGCCTCCAACCACAAAGCCCTAAGCATCCGCAACCCTGGCCCTGTAAACCTGAACCCCCAAACCATGCCCGAAAACTGCAAACCGATGGCCGAGGCTTAAGCAGGCCACGAAGCGCATTCAGGAGGCCAGCAACCGGAAATTTCAAGGTCCAAGGTGAAGGGTTTAGGAATAATTTAGGGCATTTGAAGCATCGTTTCTTGGTCTGACACTGCCGCATGCCTGCAAGCATCCGACAGACAAGTTGTTGTTGCTCTTCCGATGTGTGGCACAGGCTTCTCGTTCAAGTCACAGGGGACCTGGGGGTGCGCTCCGCACAGGAGGCTGCTGTAGCTCGCTCCGTCCTACCTTGCCTCCGAAACACCAGCTGCTAATCATCTCACCCTAACTGACCCTAACCCCCTGGTACCTACTACACAGTGTACTAGAGCACTTATGGGGCCTTATATAGTAGGTACCTGGAGGGTTAGGGTCAGATGAACTCATGCTGCGAGGCATATGCGGCCGCGACTGCCAAGTGCCACTGAGACGCCCTGAGGCCCTGATTTTCATAACTCCTTTTTGGGCCCCTGTAGGTCCTTTTAGGCAGCCGCCAGAGCAGAGCGCGCCGAAAATCGAAGAGTCGGAGTCGTGGCTTTCTCGCAGCTTTCTCGCAGCTCTCCCAGTTTTGAGTATTTAGCTCCTGCTGAAGACAGAGCTTTTCGAGCTGAGAAGAGCTCTATAGTGCCCTAATCCGGAAGCCTCCTCCAAACCCGCCAGCAAGGCTTGCGTCTTGAGTCTTGAGTTGAACCCAGCACCCATAGTCAACTGCGAACTAAGCAGTAAGCATTAAGTTGTTCTAGACGAAAAACGACGGCAGACTGAAGCCCGAAGACCGTCTGGACCACAAACACCGCCCCAAATGCATGTAGGTCGGGTTGCAGCCTTTCCGCTGAGTTGCCGAACGAGGCAGGTGGCGCTCGGCCTCCAGGCCAACGCAGCGATGGCAAGAGGGCGCAGTCCTCCATCATCCTTCAAAAATATAGGGCACACGCGCACCCTGCCGGCAACGGGGCCCCATCAAGTCGATTGTTCCAAACCGCCGCGAGGAGATCGAAGAAAGCCTTCGGCATGCAGACCGCAAAAAGTGCGGAACGGTCGACTGCACGAGTCTGCGCCGGCCGAGCCGATGGAAAGTCCAGGTCGTTGAGCGGCTTACGCAGTGCTTGCCCGGGCATTGCGGTGCCAGCGCTTCGTCCACTCCACTGGCGTGCTCTGCTCTGGCCTGGTCCGGGTCCACGCCGACGTCCTCAAAGTTGCAGGGGGTCTCCACCACTGACGCCTTGATCCAGCGGGAATGGGGACGTCCGTCTTGACAGTCGCACCTTAATGGCTCGCCGCGCGTTCCGCATCCGCCGCCCTTCTGCAATGCAAGTAGATGCGAGGCTTCGCCATGAAGGTCCAGCGCCTCTGCAAAGTCGGGTTGACGCCCACCACGTGGCGCACATAGTTCACCAGGTTGCGGTAGAGCTCCAAGTTGCCCGGCTGCCAAATGGCCCCGTGTGCTTTGCGAGCTGCTCGTCTCAGCTTCCGCTCGCAAAAGGCTCGCTTGGCCGGGCCGGTCTGCTGCCCTCCACTGCCAACGCCTGCTCCGCCACGTGCGAAGTCGTCAAGCTGCGTCCGTGTCCGCATCGTCAACAAACGCCCAGAAGCGCTCGTCGTGAGGGGCCCAACAGCTGCCCCAGTCCACTTGTGAGTCCACGTCCAAATCTCGGTGCGGTTGCCAGCTACAACCCTGCCTGCTGCTCTGTGAGCCCAACGTCGTAGGTCGCGAGGTCGTGGTCTGCAGGGCCGGGGTGTTGAGCTCGACCGTCCACCGCCAAGCCTGCAGAAGAGAGCCCAAAGTCCAAAGGCCTGACTGTCCGTGTACATGCCGTCCTCGCGCCTGTGGGTGCCCTTGCAATCTCGAAGAACGGGTCGCCGTCCATGGCGTAGACAAGGCCGGTAGCCGCATATGACGAGGAGTGGTCTCTGATTGGGGCGGTGGGCCTTCACCACCATGACGCGGGCGTTGGAGCTCACAGCCGCTGGGACCGTCACCATCTCGACCGGCCAGTCAGAAACGATGTAGCCACACCACCACATGCCTGGCCCTCAGAGTCGTAAGCAAGGGGGCCAGGCAGCAGACGCCATCGTTTCGAGTGAAAAGCTTGCCTGATCGACTGAAGGCCGTCCTGCGTGAGCTTGGTCTCCTGCAAATCGGACAGGAATAAACGGTCTTTTCCCAAAGGTCCGCTTGGCGAAGTTGGGGAGTGTTGCATCGGTAGGCTATACATGCTATCTCACCATTATGTTCAGCGCACG